GTCCCTCCCCCCGTCCCTGCTTCCTCCACAACACGGGCAGCCCTCTGCCATACTGTGTGTCTCACTCAGCAGCCTCCTCCATGAGAAAGTGAACTCCGGGGAAGGTGGGAGGTGGCTTTTGTCTATTTTGGTCACAGCTGCACCCTTGGAGTCTGTGGCCATGCTGGCACACAGTAGGTGTGCAGTGAACACATACCACTCGGATGAACACATGGACCCCTGACCTTGGTCAGTCCTACTTTTGACACCAGAGAGATTTGATCAGAACACTGAGGGTGAGTAGGGAGGGGCTGGAGGAGGCAGTTGCCAAGGCAACTGTAAACCTTCTAGGCCAGGATTGGCTGAGAAGCTGACCACCTCTGGAGCGCACGGACTTGTGGGAGAGGAGATTTGAAATAAAAGCAGCGCTCTCAGGCTCTGGGGCTCTCCTTCCTCGGGGTAGTGGGGCCGAGGCTGTCTGCATCTCCCAACGGATGGTGTTTTGAGTGGGAAGGGACTCCAGGCGCAGCCTAGGGTCGGGCTGGCCTGGCAGAGGGTGGCAGGCTCACTCTTCCCTGGGTGTTCTGGAGGGGACAGGCTCTGAGGCAGAAGCCTGCCGTTCTTCCCAACGGTGTGGCTTTTGTATCTGATGTTGTTTTAGTTTGTAAGCTCCCCCTGTAGAATTAAGATAAAACTAATAAGGGGAAAGATAGGAGAGCCCCGGTGTTAGAGTTTAGCCTTAATTGATTGGTTTAAGTGATGGAAGCTGTAACTGAAGAGTTAAAAAGTTTAACCTTAATTGAGAGCTTCAGTGACTAATGCAGTGGAAAGCTGTTATTCCAAAATTGTGAAGCTTTTGAATAAAAACTCCTCTCCTGTATCACCAAGTCTTTGCCTCTGGAACTTAGCCAGAGGGCGGTGGCGGCCATGGGACCCTGATGGCTATTCGGTAACACTCTCCCGCCGGCCCCCAACCGAGGGTGGGTGTCCCTGGGATGCAGCGGGGCCGTGGTCTGGCTCACGTCCTCCTGAAAACGGCACCTGCCCCAGGCACTGCCTTTCCTCTGATGGCCAGGCAACCGCCAGTCAGCGTTCTGTCCCCGGGGACTGGCCTGCTCTGGACACGCCGTATAAACGGAGTCATCCGGCATTTAACGTCTGGCTTCTTTCACGTACTCGAGTGCCAGGCTCGCGCATGCTGACGCTTGTGTCAGCACTCCAACCCTCTTCGGGGCTGAACAATGGTCTGCGGTGGGGACAGACCGCATGTCACCGGCCACCGCGGCGGCCGCCATGTCCCTCACTTGTTTCGACGTCATTAAGTGTCTATAGCTAGACGCCGGTTTTTAAGCGTCTGGATTAGGTGACAAGACAAGAAGATTGTCAGCACAAAACCCAGCTGGTGGTCGCCTCTGGGCTGGAGGAGGGGGTGCAATGGGAGGAGCTCCATCCATGGAGAATGTCACCCAGGGGTCCCCGCGTCTCGGCCCCCGATGGGCTGCGTGCCCAGCTCTCGGGGTGAGCGCAAAGCTCCTGAAACATGCAGCTCACTAGTGGTTTTGCGAGTAACAGATTTATTGAGACATAATCTGCATTTCCTAACATTCAACGTTTCTTAGTGCGCAACTCTGTGGCATTTAGCACACTGACAGTGTCGGGCCTCCGTCACCACTACCTGGTCCCAGAAGGGAACACCATCCCCACCAAGCAGTAACGCCCAGGACTGTGGCCCCCAAGCCCTGGCCGTGACGAATCTGTTTTATTAAAAATATTTTATTTATTTATTTTTAGAGAAGGGAAGGGAGAGAGGAAGAGAGGGAGAGAAACATCAATGTGTGGTCGCCTCTCGTGTGCCCCCTACTGGGGACCTGGCCTGCAACCTGGGCCTGTGCCCTGACTGGGAATTGAACTGGTGACCCTTCGGTTCGGCAGGCTGGCACTCAGCCGGCTGAGCCGCACTGCTGCCCCATGGGCAGGGCCGGGCAGAAACCGCGAAGGGCTGCCTTGCGCCCCCTGGGGTCTGGCCAGGGCCATGCGGCCTTTTGTGCCTGGTCTCCTCCACAGGAAAGCCCTTCGTGGGGCTCACTCACGCCGGGCGCGTGCCAGCTCTTCAGTCCTTTTTATGGCCCTTCCTGCTCCGAGGTGCAGGCCCACCGCATCTCACCCTCCATCAGCGGGGACTCTCGAGTTCCCTGCCCCCGAGACTCACGGCAGGCTAGGGGACCCAGGGGACCGTCAGCTTCTGCTGGGTCTGCTCAGGTTCTTCTGGAAGCTTGAACCGTCTTCCAGCCTCAGAACTTAGCCCCAAAGCAAAGGCTCTGAAAACGGTCCTGGGGGCCGAGACCGTTTCCCCCACTTAGACCCGGTTCTGCTGGGCCAACCCTGCCCGGGGATACCTTTCTGGCGTCTTGGCCGAGCGGAGAAAAGGAGGGCCCGCTGCCAGGGCCGCTTTCCTTGCCTCGCAAAAGGCGCACACACAAGAGGAAACTCTCCGAGAGCAGATCGGATGGGAACCGACCCTCCGACGCATGACATCACCGGAGGACATAAATCTCGGGCGGCGGGATTTATTTATGTTAAGAAATCCACAGATGATGCCGAGTTTGCAACGGCTTTGTTTAAGTGATAGTTTTTCCTTTCCAGTGAAAGTTGGAGCGAGGGTAAACAGCTCCAGCTGTAAAAATGAAAGGCGGGTGTGAGGCCGGGCCGATCACTGCGCAGAAAAGCGGAGTGGGGAGGGCACGGGCCCTTCCAGCTTCTCGAAGGAAAACCGCCCTCTGCCACCATGCGACACTAGCAGCCGCCTGCTGTTTACTAATTAACCTATTTCAAAGCACCGCGTCTTGACTGGAAGCTGCCCCTTCTCTGATGTGAAAACTGGCTCATTCGTGTCTGTTAGAACGACCGTGTCCCATGTGGTCCAGGCTCAGAGCACACGTCGCTGACACACGTAGTTTCAGATGACACATTTTGTGATTGGACGTACCTTTCTGGAAGCCCAGATGTTGAGTCTGACTGTGTGGCGTGATCACCCCAAGTGGACTCCCCAGAGCCACTGGCCGGGTCGTGGGACCTGGGAGGGCCGCCCTGAGGGGGGCCCTGGTGCCCCAGTGAGAGCTGGACTCGGCAAAGGCCGACCCCACGTGGACACAGGCAGACATGTGTCTCGGTGACTGTCAGGGGTGCCCGGGTGACCCCGCCTGGCCACACACCCTGGAACTCGCCCTCTGGCCCCAGTGATGGCCAGGGTCCAGGCTGAGACACCGCCCCCCACCCAGCTTCCCGGGATCTGCGATGAGCCTCGCTCCTCTGGGCCTCAGTTTCCCAGCTGTAAGGAGCAAATAATTGCAGTCCCTTCTGCACGAGACTGTTGGGAGAGTCTCATGGCGCCTCGAGGAGACCCAGGGGCGCGGGCCGAGCCTCTGCAGCACCCACCTGGCTGCATCGCTCCAGGCCGGGGCACCCCACGGATGGTCTCCTGACCTCGCTCTTCCCAGCACGTTCCCTTGCCTGTCACCCTACCCAGCCCTCTGAGCACGTCGGCCTCCTGGGCCCAGTGAGCCCCACGCTGCAGGACTCCTGGGCGCTTGCTCACTGCTCGGTCCCCTCACAAGGCTCTGGTTTGCTGCTGCATACAGGTGGCCCTTTGCAAGCCGGGACAGGTGAAGGAGGGTCACTCAGCATAGGGTGGCTGCCTCCACTTCCTGGAACGTGGTCTTGGTCTCCTTCGGTCTTGGGTAGGGGGGGCTGGGACCAGGGTGTGGGCACACAGGGGTCGCTTCCTACATGCCCAGCACTCCCCACTCTTCCGTCTCTGCACTGAGCAGCCCAACAGGCTCCCAGGATGGGGCCGCATGCCCTGGGGCTCCGGGTCTGCTGCGGAGAACTCGCGACCCAACAAGCACCACAGGATGGTGCCTTCCAGCAGCTCTGGCTGCCCTGGGTCCTCTGCCATCTGCCAAGAAAGGAAAGGAAGGAGGAGGGAAGAGAAAGAAGGATGGAGGGAGGGAGGGAGGGAGGGAGGGAGGGAGGGGGCAATGAGTGCTGGGTCTGTGCCAGGAGCCAAGAGTCCCGCCCACCCCCACCCCCACTTGGGGCAGGTGGCGACCTATGACCAGCACCGACTGCAGGTGCTGGGAGACCAGCTGGCCCTCCAACAGCCTCCACTCCAGACCAGGCGAGCCTGGGTCAGGCCAAGGTCAAGAGGGCGGGGCTGACCCTGGAAGCCCCTTGAGACCAGCTGGACTGTCCTCAGCCCCCACCGCACTTGCCTCTGTGACCAGCGGGGTGGGGGTGCCACCCTCCAGGACCCCTACTCAGAGCCCTTGCAGCAGGCCTGGGCTCTGGGAGAGGCGGGGTCAGAGGGCGCGGGGACCCTGCCACCCGCAGTCTGTGCTCTGGCAACCGAACAAGAGCTCCAGGGGAGCCCCGCCCCCGCTTGTCCGCCCCCGCAGTACGCACAAGAAACTGCCCCCGCCCCCGCAGCTGGGCGGGATGACCCAGGGTTTCAGAGGGCATGAGCCGGAGAAGCTGGCTCGGACATCGGTCAGGTCCGCCTGTCCCCACCCTTCCCTGCTGTCCTTGCCCTGGGGGGGGGGCACAGCGCAGGAGCAGGAGGGGGCTCCGGAGGATGGCGGGTGTGCGCTCGCGGGCTGGGGGGGGGGCAGGCAGTGCCCTGCAGTCCCTCTGCCCCCCTCCGGGCACACCCCCCCCCATTATAATTCCAAGGCTGTCCCGCGTCCCTGCCTCTGCGGCCACCGCCCCTCCATCAGGGGCTCCGTCCACGATGCAGGACGGAAGTGTGGGGGCGGGGCGCCCTCCCGCCGGAGCAGGTGGGGGAACCGACTGCCGGTGTCCCGCCCGCCCCCAGGGCCAGGGCGGCCGCCACCTCCCGCCCCTGGAGAACACGCAGACTCGTTCCATCACCTTCAGTCACTCGGTCAATGCGCAGAGGCGATTCCCCCCCCCCCCCCCGGAGGCAGTCCCAGTCCCCGCCCTCTTCTCGCCCACCCGCCCCAGATCAGAGGTTCAGCAGCCAGGGCCGGTGGGGGAGGGGCGTCGCCCGGCCTCCCTCACTGGCCGCTCCGCGCCCCTCCCTCCTCCCCACCCCCATCGGTCCTACGGGCAGCTATAGGAAGCCCAGGCCTCCAAGGTCACGGCCCAAGGGTCCTGCCCAGACTTGCCGGGACCGACAGGTCCCCAAAGCCAGGAACACCCAAGCCAGGCCACAGCGGGGAGCGGAGGGAGGGGCTTTTCCTCCGGGGAGCTCGGCTGGGGAGCTCTGTGGCCTGTCGCCCTCTTGGGCAGCACCAGCACTTGCCCTCCGCGAGACCTGGGGTGCGGGGTGGACCCCGAGAGTCCGAGCGTGGCCTGCCGAGCCTCCCTGCTCCACAGGGGTCGTGAGAAGCCCAGGGCGAGCGGCACCCTGAAGGGCAGACCTGACCAGCCCTGGAGAGGGGAGCCCGGGCAGGGCGGGGGGGCAGAGACCGCTCAGGGCTGCCTTGCACCCCCTGGGGTGTAGCACCACCTGAACCCCACCACTCACAGGTGGCCCCAAAGGGAGGGCTGCCGGCGGTCTCCCGCCTGCAGTCTCCACCCGCCGGTCCTCCCCCAAACCTCCCAGAGGTCTGTGAGCAGGGGAGGGGGTGTGCGGCCCCCTTCCCATTTCTCAGACGGGCCACGGAGGCCAAAGAAACCCCCCAGCAGCTCGCTGTCCAGGGGCACGTTCGCGGGTGTCCAGCCCTCAGGCGGAAGGCGAAATCTCCTTTCCAAACTGAGGAGGCTGGCGGTGTGGGGGCAGGGCGGCGGCGCGGAAGAGGGAAGGGCCGGCTTTGCAAACCGAGGTGTGCATTCGGGCGCAAGCAGATTCGGGAGTCTCCCTGGGTACCCGGCGGCCCGGCTGGCATCCTCAGCTACCCAGTGTAGGGGGGCGCGAGGACAGGGCTCCCGCTCAGCGGCTCCCGGGGCTCGGCCGTCCGGGAGGCCACACGGCTCCCCTTTTCGTTGTCGCCAGGACCCTGTCCGAGCGCAGCCAAAACGGAGAGCAGTGGGCGGCGGCCGCGTCCACACGGCCCTGTTCCGGAGCGGCCGCAGTAAAAACTCTGCGGCGCTCGGCTCTGACGGCGCTGCGGGCCCGGCCAGGGCGCTGGGGGACGAAGCTGCTCTGGACGTGGGGCGTGGGCGGTCCGGGGTTCGGGCGGCGCGGGGCTCCGTGCTCCAGGTGGTGCTGGCGACTCGGGGCGCGGGGTGAGCACAGGGCTCAGGATCACCGCAAACCGAACAACGGGATTCGTTGGCCGATTTTTAAAGGCTGTGAGACGGCGCGGGAAACCGATTTCGTTTATTGCTCCCCGCGGCGACGGCCGCCCGCGCAGGCAGTTGCGGAGTCCCGCGGCGGCGGCCACTTAGTCCCGGCCCACCGTGCGCTCCACCGCGGAGGTCGAGTCACGGAGCTCCTTGCACCTCGCAGGGCACGTTCGGGTCAGGACACAGGAGCCAGCTCCCTCCTGCGCCCAAACAGGGATCGCAGGCCCACGCGGGTCCCGGTCTCTCACGAATCAAAACAAAAAACCCTGGGCTGCACCCCCCAAACGCACGTGGCAGATCCCAGGGGTCGCTTGGAGGTGGCTGCACTCCCTGGAGAAGGGGGCCCCGGCCAGGGTGCTGGCCTGCAGGCAGCGCAGGAAACAGAGGCAGGTTTGGAAACGTCAGGGCTGAGCTCGACACCGGCTGTGGGCGCACATCGCTGGGAAGTGCGAGCGGGAGCATCCCGGCCCCTGGGACCCAACCCCAGAACCAGGGGCTGGGCGCTGCGAGGCCACCCTCCTGGGCAGCGAGGGAGCCGCCTCGCCCCACGGCTGCGGAGCTCACTGGGCGGGAGATTGGGGCCCCCGTGCTGTCCTCTGGACCTTGAGAGAGTATTTGGGTGTCGAGGGGTGTCTCTGGGGCTGGGATCAGCAAAGGGGCAAAAGGGGGCCCGTGGCCCCGGTCTGGAGCAGAGGAGCAGGGCTGCGGGCTAGTGTGGTGGCCCCCCAGGGCAGGAAGGATGGGGCCCTGGGGTGACTGTGCCCCACACCCTCCCAGTCTAGCGAGAGCACTCGGGTGAAGGATTCAGCCTGGGTGGCGAGGCCTCGGCGCTCCAGCCCCACGAGTGTCCGGTGCAGGGCCAGACCACCCGGCTTCTCCTTCCAGCGGCGGGAGTCACACTAGCCTGTCCCCGGGCATCCCTCTGGTCTCCGGCCTTCCGCTGCTCAAATCTGGGAGGCAGGTCCACCTGGCGGGGTCAGGAGAAGGTGCCCGGAGAGGACTGCCGCATCTTGGCCCGACTCCGTGGCCCTCTGCGGGGGGGTGGGGGGTGAGTGCTGGTGGGCTGGACACCCCCAGGGGTGGCTCCGAGCCCCCCCCCCGCCCCCGGCAAAGGGAGAAGGACTCCCTCCTGTCTGCTGCTCAGCCTCTTTCAGAGCAGAGACCAGAAGGTGAGCAAAGCTGACCGGGAATCCGATGGAGCTCAGAGACTGGGCGCCTGGCAGCCTGGGCCGGGCTGAGCTGGGGAGCGGGAAGTGGGGCCGGGTGTGGAGACCGGGCCAGGTAGGCACTTCTGTCCTGGGGGCGGCTGGCCCTCCCCACCTCCCCGCAAGTTCTGCAGAGGGCTCCCCAGGCCTGGGCACCTGGGTCTCACAGGGCCGGTGCCGACCTCCTCTCCAGAGGTCAGACCTCCACTGGCTGCCAGTCAGCCCGGGGCACTGGCCCTGGCCGAGCAGAGAACACACCCCAGCCTCGCAGTGGGTGGACTCGGGAGTGCAGAGTGTGCCCTGGTGTGGTGCTAGTATTCTCGGGCTTCTCCCGGAGTTGGGGGCCTGACTCACTCGTGGACACCGCCATGCCGACCGCAGCACCGCAGGCCCCGCCTGGCTGGCCCTTCCACACCCGGCCCCCTCCCAGAGCGGTGCACCGGAGCCTGGGTCCCCAGCTGGACCTCCCTGCTGGCACCACAGGCTGGATCAGGTGAAGCTCCGGCTGAAGCGGGCTCCGGGCAGTAAAAGTCCTCTCTCCAAGCCCCTGACCCCAGCAACGAAGTCCATCCCCACAGGCAGAGAGGGTGAGACATGTCCACGCAGCCAGCCCACAGCCCACGGAGCCCCGACAGTCTGACAGGGGAGGAGAAGCCTGAAGCCCTGGAGGTGGCTGGAGTGGGGCGGGCGCGGGGCGCTGGGCAGCATGGTCATGGGGCTCCTCGGGGCTGGGCTCACCTTGAAAACCACCTTTAATCCGTTCAGTGTCAGTGAAGGGACAGCGGCCCCCACTTGCCCACACCTGTCTCCCCAAGTCCCCGAATGTCTTTGGGCGAGACACAGCTGGGGGCCCAGTAGAACGGGCTCTGACGTCTGCTGTCCCCGTTCTCTCCGAGGCGCCACGAGGCCCGACCTGCTCTCCGTTCTAAGTCTGGCCACGCGGGGGCAGGGCCTGGCCAGGCCAGGGCCATGGCCTTGGGGACGGCCTGCCTGGGCTCCTCAAGCTGATCGGGCTGTTTGGAGGGAGACCCTGAAGGAGCTGCAGCACCTGTGGGGGTCAGCGCCCCACCTGTCCCCTTGTCAACCTTGTCCCTACTCCCTCCTCCCCCAGGCAGGCCCAGAGCTGAGTTCCACCCCCACCCAGCAGCGCCCTAGCAGGGGGAAGGGAAGAAAGGGCCAGTGCGGCCTTCGGCCCTCTCTTCCGGGCCCTGGCAAAGGGCAGGCTCAGGTGTGGAGAGCAGCCTGGCCAGGGCTCCGTGGCCTCTAATTGCCTCCCGGGCTGTGGGAGGGAGCAGGGCGAGGGCCAGGTGCTGCTGGAGAAGCCTGGGCCTTCCTAACCTGGGCGTCTGCCGGGGACCAGGGCTGGGTTGGGGTCAGGAGCTGGGAGGGGGCCCTCCCTGGCGGTGGGCATGCTTCCCAGGCACCCTTGCATTCTCCCAGTCCTCATACCTAATCTCGCTGGGGGGCTCCCTGCACGGGGGGGGGGGGTCTTGGCCGTGCGCCTGCGCTCTCTCTGCTGGCGGCCCAGCCGGGTCAGGCCCACCGGCTGCAGCTGCCTGGGCGGGGCCGGGCGGGTGGCTGCAGAGCTCTGGGGATCCCGCAGCCTTCCCTCCGGCCTCTGCCAGCAACCACCCTCCCCACCCTGGGAGGCGGCGGGCTCTGCGCCGGCCTTCGGCCATGCCCTACTCCTCGCTGGGCACCGAGAGCCTGGCAGCAAGGCCCAGGGCCTCTGAGCCCAGGGGTGTTCCGCCCGGCCCATGGGGAAAGACAGGGTGTGTGGTGGGGTGGGGTGGAGGGTGACAGGCCCTGGGAAGGAGCGGTGGGTACGGGCGGGGGGGGGGGCTGAGCTGCCTGTGCCCTCAGGGTCCTGGAGACTGGGCAACACTTACCCAAGGGCCCAAAAAACGGCAGAGGCAGCGGGGTGGCCAGCGGGGAGCCCCTCCTCCATCAGGGGCAGCGATGGGGCACGAGACAGGACACCCCAGAACACTGGGAGCTCCTTGGGGTGGGGGGCATTCGAATTCCCCCTGGGGAAGTGCTGTGGGCCGAGGGGGCTCCGAGAGGGAAGGCCCAGGACACCGCCCCCTCGGAAGCCAGCAAAGCCGGGTTGTCAGACTCTTCCTCTGGGGTAGCTTCAGCCGTGTGCCCTGGCCGTCAGTGCCGCTGCTCGGACCCCAGTGTCCAGCCAGCTCCCATCCGGACTGGTCACTGTTTCTATGCCCAGGGCGTGGGTCCGGAGTGTAGGTCCCAGGGACGGTGCTGCTGGCCTCACTGCACCATGCCGGGGAGGGGCCTGGCCAGGAGGGCCCCCAGCCCCGGAGACCCCCCGCTTATGGGTGGGACCCCTCCCAGCCTCAGGCTGACGCTGGGGCAGCTCCAAGTCCTGCGGCCCGGCAGAACCTTGGTTCTCCAAAAGGCGCGGGCGTCAGTGCCTGCGCTCACTTCCAGTCCATTCTTGACTCCCGGACAGACGCCGGAGCAGTTCTCGCTGTCCCCACCAGGCCCCGTCCCCGCACGCCCTGCCTGCGCCCCACCGGCCCCTCTGCTGCCCGTCCTCCGAGTTGGAGGGTTGCCGGCAGAAGGAGCACCCGGTCGGCTTCCGCCCGTCCTTCTCCACCTGCCGCTCCGACCCTCCCGTTCCCTACGCGCACCTGGGCCCAGAGAGGCGAGGGGGGGAGTGTCCCCAGAGGGCCTGGTCTCCGGAGGTGGTCCCGCTCCGGCGCGCACCGCTGGGTACTCACCTGGGGGCCGCGGAGGCGGGAGTGCGCAGGCCGTCCCGGGGCGGCGAGGTGCGGGGACACCCGAGGTGCGGACGGCTGCCCCCGCGCTGCCTCCCGGTGCTGGGCGCGTTCGTCCCTGCAGCTCCGAGCAGGACCGAGGGCAGCGGGTCGGAGTTTCGCCCGCGGGCCCCGGGCGGTGGCGGAGCGCGGAGCTGGCGGCGCTGGCGCTGCTGTTTTCGAGCCGCCGAGTCCGGAGCAGCGGCGGTTGGGTGGGGGCGAAGGGGAGGGGCGCGGGCAGGGGAGGCGCGCGGGGGGCGGCGGCCGGGAGGGGGCTTCGGCGGAGCCGGGTTCCGGTGCGCGGACCCGGACACCCCCTCGGGCGGTCGCGGGGCAGGGGCGGGGACCGAGGGGACAGACGCGGAGGAAAGCGGGCAGTGGCGACGGCGAACGCAAAGCTGTTTAATTAGCACTGACAGGCGAGAAAACGGAGCAAAACCGACCAGACCCGCGTCCGAACTGTCGGCGCGTCTGCCCCCAGATCGGAGGAAGCCGCCGGGGCAGACGCGGCCGCCGCTGCATCTCCAGTCCGCGGGGCGCGAGCCGCCGCGCAACTTGACGCAGGCGGAGGGTGGGGGGATCGCCGCCTCGCCGCCGGGGCCACCTGGGTCCTTTTAAAGTGTCCGGGGTGCGGGCCCCGGGCGGGAGCGCCGAGCCCGGAATGTTTTCTTAAAGGGCCAGTTCCGAGCTGCGCGGCGAAGGGGGGTGGGGGAAGGGGGGGGGGGGAGAGAGAAGTGAGGTGAAGCCCGGGAAGGCCGAGGCGAGCCCCCCAATCCCGCGCCGGGGCGGCGGCGGCGGCGGCGGCGGCGCGACGATGAGGATGATGAATACATTGCAAAGTTTTTTTGGCCCCGGCGAGGGGTGTCAGATTGAGCGCTCTGTGCGCATGTGCGAAGGTGTCCAAACTGACAATGCTGGGGAGATGAAGATAGTGTGTAGCTGCTTCTGGACTCCAGGAGGAGGAGAGAGATTCCGCGAGCCGACACCATGCGATCCAAGGCGAGGGCGAGGAAGCTAGCCAAAAGTGAGTCTCCTGCGCTCGGCCGCGCCGCGCCGGCGGGCCCGGGCCGCGGGGCCGAGGCGGCCGGGCCAGGGGTGCGCGTCGGGGCGCGGCCGGCGCGCCTCGGGCTCCCGGCCCCCGGATCGGCCGCGCGGCCCGGGGGCTGCTCCGCCTCCCGCGCTCCGGGGCGGCCGGGCTCCGTGCGGAGGCTCGGGGCGCCGGGCCGCGCGCTCCCCGAAGGCGCCGGCCCCCTCCTCGCCGAACCCCCCCCCTCGTCAGGCGCTCGGGCCCGGGAACCCGAGGCGCGCGGTGGGGGCCGGGGAGGGGGGCGGAGGGGGCGGGCTGGGGGTGGAGGGGAGCGAAAAGCGAAAGTTAGCGAAAAGTTGACGAAAGGGGAGAGCAACTTTTCCTCCTCGCTCGCTCTCTCCCTCTCTCTCCGAGTGGCTCTCAGCCCTGGTCAAATCATATTCCGGGCTTTTGAAATAGTGGGCGCTAGAGCACCGCCTTTGGCGTCCGCCAGCCGGGCGCAGAGGAGGGAGACCCCGAGCCGGGGAGGGGGCGGAGGAGGGGGCGCGGGCCGGCGCCCACCGGCTCCGCGGGCGCGAGGCAGGGCTGGCCACGGCAGGACGGCCGCAGCCCTTGGGGAGTAAAATGGAGACGTTTTCCTGGGCTCGGAACTGCGGTCGTGAAGTTCATTCCCAAGTGGTGCCCCGTGCGGCGGAGGGCGCTCCTCCGTGCCTCCGGCAGCCCATGCCGGCCGCCCGGGCGCGGTTGCCTCGGGCAGCAGCGTCCCCGCCGCCGCCGCCGCCTGCACCCTCGGCCCCGCTCGGACCCTTCAGCGCCCGCTCGCCTGGCACAGCCGTGGAGGCCGGCGGGGACAGAGCGGCCCGGCGAGACCGCCGGGTCTCGGTCTTACTTTCTCTTTCGTTCCGACTCGGGCTGAGCCCCGGGCTGCGCGCGCCCAGCCTGCCGCCTCCAAGTCCTCGCCTCCGGGTCTCCGCCGCCGGCCCGGTTCTACCGCCGCCCGCACCGCCGCCGCGCCTCCGGGACACCCGTGCACCTTCCACGCCGCGGCGCCGGCGTTTCGGGCCGCAAGGCCCCGGGGCCCGGGGTTGCGGCCCGAGAGGCGGGCAGGTGGGGGCGGCAGCGGCGGCGAGGCCGGGCGAGGGCGGCTCCCGCAGCCCCGGCGGAGGCCCGGCTGCAGCGAAGCGGCGAGCGCCGCGCGGAGTGAAATCGGCGTCTCCTGCTCTCGCCGCCTCCTTCTCCGCCGGCCGCCAGCCCACGGGCGGAAGGGGAGCCCAGCCTGCTCCCCTTGGGGTCCCCGCCCGACCACCAGGCCGTTCTGTCGGCTCCTCCTCGGCCTGACTCTGCCGTGCCCGGCGGCGCGGCACTCGCCGACCCCAAGCCTGAGCCGGAGGGCGCGAAACTTGCGACAGTTTTCAGAGGAAGTTCTGTTCTCCGTGTTCGGTACTCGCCCTGGCTGGGCGGGACAGCGGCTCCGCAGTCGCAGGCCGTTTGTGGGGTCTGCCCGGGAAAAGCAGGTCCCAGCTTATGTAGGGTGCCGGTTGGGGACCTTCGTGGAGGCGCCCCCTTTCTGGCCAGCCTCCTCTGCCCAGTGCTCCTGGCCTGGGTCCCCCCAGTCTTCCCGGCCCTTCGTGACTTCTGGCCCCTCTTGGTGCGAACGAGGTCCCCTTTTCAGTGCTGGCTCCGCAGCCCCAGCGCTACCTGCCTGCTGGCGTGCGGGGTGTGCGTTTTCGTGTGCACGCTCGGGTCTGTGTGTGAGGGAAGGGCCGACTCGAGACTCGAGACTCTCAGTCAGGACTGCCTGCCGCCTGCGTCATACTCTCTCCGGGAAGGGCCCGAAGCTGGGGCGGGAAAGTGGAAGGTGGCCTCTTTCTCCTGGACTTCGCTGCAAGCGAGAGGCAGCCCCGGAAACTTCCCACGCCCGGCAGGCAGCCAGCCTGGCCCCGGTCTGGCTGTTGGCACTCTTGTCTGCTCCACCCCAGCAGGTGGGGAACGCGGCCGGCCTCAGGGTCGGAAGGGCCAGGCCCTGCTCAGGGCCCAGAAAGGTGCCTGGCCCTGCCTTGCAGCCTGGCCTGGGTCTGCAGAGCGTGGCCGGGGGTCCGGCAGTGCACAGACGCCCTTTCCCAGGAGTTCTTGGAGAGAGAAGCGCAGGCCAGTGTGCCAGCCAGGCCCAGGCCCAGCTGCAGCCCACACGGGGCAGGCTCCGGGAAGCCCTCCCTCTCAGGCCCCAGGGCTGAGCCAGCTGCCCCCAGCCGTCCCGAGAAGGTGGCTCAGCAGGCACGGAAATGCGGCTGCCTCCCCGACGCGGTGGAGCACAGGATCCACGGGGGAATCTCATGTCGATGGACGATATTTTGAACAGATGTGGACGTCCTTGGGGACCCGGCTTCGTTACCTGAATCTGGGGCAGAGGGCAGCTCCAGGGCCTCCATCGGATGCCCCCCCACCTCCACCCCTGGGCCGCATCCCAGCCAGGGTCAGGGGCTGGGGCTGAGCAGAGAGGTCACGGGTAAAGGACACTGCATAGGGACAGACTGGGCCTGCAGCCCTGTGCCGGGCAGGGAAGGACACCCAGGTCCGTGGCTGTGACCCCCGACACAGGGCTGCGGGCTCCCTCAGAGGTGCATCTGTGTCTCCCCAGGACCCCACTTCAGGGGGCCTCCTCCGTCGGGCCTGCAGGCTGGCCGAGCAGGGTGGCGCCTGGGGGCCGACTCTGTTGAGCTTCCAAGGACAGAGGTTCGTGGGGGTTCAGGCCTGGGCTGCTGGGAAACTCATGACCTCCGCAGCCTGTACTTGGGGGCCTGGGGGCAGAGTGAGGGCAGCTGGGGTCCCAGGTCCCCTCACACAGGCCTGTGGGGAAATGAGACTGTCTCGCCGCCCATTTACAAATCTGAGTGTCTGATAAGAGCTTGGAGTTTCTGTCTCTGCCATGAGCCAGGCGGGCAGGTGGGTGGCAGGTCAGCACAGCTGTGGTGCCCTCCTCACCTCTGTGCTGAGGGACGGTCGGGCCAGCGCCTCCGTGGGAGCTGCCCGTGAGCGAGGCCTGATCGGCATGGAGGTCACACCCCCCCAGGTCCTAGTTGCCACGTATCCCAGGCCTGGGGGATGCTGTTCTCAGGATGACTGGCTGCCCAGGCCCTCGGGTGGGCTTGGTGGCTGCCCCCTGGGCTGGAGGTGGCCCTTTGTGTCCCTTTGTGTGTATTCAGGCTGATGTGTGAGACAGGTTGGGGGAGGTGGGGCTGGGGACTGAGCTCCCAGAGGTTGGCTCTCCCCCGAAACAGGGCAGGCTCCCTCATCTCTGCTGGGCCCTGCCCTTCTCCCACCCTGGGGCACCTCTGCCCCCTCCATGGGTTCTCTTCCCTGAGCCAGGATGGCGGCCTCCTGTTCCGACGCCTGGGAGGGCCACAGCGCCAGGAAGTGTCCGGCGGTGGCGGAGCGGCTAGCCCGCTTCGGGCGAACGTGCAGAGGCCGAGGGGAGGGCGGGGTGCAGGGCTGGCGGCCAAGGCCAGGTGCCCTGCGGCGGCTCGCTCCGAAGCCCGCGGGCTCTGATTTCGCGGTTGGCCTGCGGGTGGGCCCTGGCCAGAGGCCTGCGGGAGAAACGCCGGGGGTTGCCAAGTCCTGCGAGTGAAGTGACCTGCGGCGGCTTCCCCCAGGAGGGACATCGCTACTTTCCAGGGTCCCTGGTCCCAGAAGCCCGCTGCCGACTCTGCTGTTCTCCACCCTGACGGAGCAGGTGCGGGCCGGGCCTCCCGACCGTCTGGCCCTCGGCTGCCCTGCTCCCTGCGTCCCCATCTGGGCAGAGCGTGGGGCATGGGACCTGGTACCCATTTCTGTTGAGAGGCCAGGTGCTGGCGGTGGGGTGGGTGGAGGCTCCCCCCACTGGGCCCCTGGGGGAGGCAAGCCAGCTCTCTGGGCCACTTTGGGCGCGATTAGCCCCCTGTTTTATTCAATTAGGAGGCAATTAGGGATCCTTGGGGGGCTGGGCTGGTAATTAAGGTGATGTATAATTAGAGTTTCAACAAAAATTATCCAGGATTAAAAATCTTTTGAGTAATTTCGTTTAAAAATCTTAAGTAGCGCTAAACACAATTTATCAGGCTTTGAATCAGCCCCTGGAACACGTCTCCGACGCCGCAGCCTTGGTTTCTGGGGCGCGAGGGCTTGGGAACAGCCGGGGCGCCGTCCCCGTGCGCCAGGGAAACTGCGCCGCGGAAGGAGCTTCCGCAGCAGGCACAGGGCGGCCTCGGGCGCAGACTCTGCCGCCGAGGGCTCCAGACGGTGCGGGCCGATGGGGCGCGGAACCTGGGAGCCCGGGAGTGGGCCCAGGGTCGCTGCAGCGGCTCCCAATTCTGGGTTCACAGAGTCCCTCCCAAGGACTGCGCGCGGAGGGAGCAGCGGCCGCGTCTACACCGCGCAGCCGGGTTGTGGCGAGGGTTCTGCCCGGGCGCCTCTGACCTCAGCCCGGCCGGCTCTTTGCCCTCCCCTGGGGCCCGGTGCAGCCTCGAAGGGCTCTGCCTCCGAGCTTCCCCAGCGGGCGGGCTCCGCACCCAGACCCCTGACTTTCTACCCAGGCTCTGCAGGCCCAGTTTGCGGCCGCTTCTCCGACAGAGGCGCAGAGAAACGGGGGGAGAGTCTGGGTCTCAGTCAGGGCAGCGAGGAGAGGAGAGATGACGGTTCAGGGGTCCGGACTGTGGTGGAGGGTGGGTCAGGCTTCCCGGGGTCAGCCCAGCTCCCGCAGAGGCGGCTCCGGGCCCTCGCGCTGCACACACCTGTCTGCTGCGGAGCCAAACAGCGTCCCTGCCTGCTCTTCGGCCCCCAGGGAGAAGGTCAAGGTTCCCCTTGAGGCAACCGCGGTCACGTGGAAGACGTGACCCAGCCCCCTCACCGACCCTGGGGTGGATGCAGTGTGGCCGGCGGGCACCACTTTAAGGGGAAGAAACCCAAGGCCCAGACACAGAGAGGTCAAGTGACCCATGCAGGTCACACAGCCAGTTACGGCG